AAGGAAAATATAAAAAATCAGATAAAAAATAGTAAATAATGGGAAATTAGGACAAAGGGTTTTTATATATTTTGGAAACGGTACAGAGTTTTGAAATACAGTTTATATTACAAGAATTCAGTTGCATAGTAAAAATCAGTCATTTAAAAACTTTTACACTGAATTGTGATAATTTATTAAAAAGTATATTATTATTTATGATTATAACAATCAATTAAAATATAATGAACAAATAATAAACATGAATAAGCATTAAGTATTATGAATTCAAATGTTTTAAATAATTGATTTCATTTTAAAAACCTTTAAATAACTAGTAAAACAAAAAGTAAAATTATTAATAAAAAACAACATATCATACTTCGAGTATTGCAAAAAAATAAGAAAATCAATGTTGAAATCTCACATCAAATGTTTTGTGATTATTATTTTATGTAAGACATGTTAGATTTTTATTTAAAAAGCAACAAAAACCAAATATAGCATCAAATCCGATTAAAACAGTCAAAAAAGCCGAATTGTTTAAATAATTTAAAAAATAAATAAATAAAATTAATACACGTTCATTAAAAATCACATTCAAAAATTTTGGAATGACACAAAAACAAATATAGTTTTTTTAACAATATGAATAAATATTTAAAAAGCATTTAATGACCAATAAAACAATCAATGGATTTTACTTTATAAACTTATAATTAAAATACGAATTATTTTTAATTTATAATTAAAACGAATACACAAAATTCGTTGTTTATCAATAACTCATTACATTTAAATTCAAATGTTTTAACTTTGTATTATAATATATGATATTTCTATTGTGTCTTATTACATTCACATTTTTAACAATAAAAGTGAATGCAACTTATCCACAAAATAATGCTCGAACGACAACACTTAAACGACTTGGATGTTTACCTGGTCAATATTACGTAAATGGAAACTGTGAGTACTGCGAAGCTGGTACTTATTCTCCAGGATCAGACGATTCTGTTTGCTATAATTGTCCCAATTTACAATATTCGTTGGGAAGTGCATCTCAATGTAAACAATGTGACTCTTCATGTCTCTCATGTAACCCAAAAAATGGACTATGTACATCATGTCAGCCAGGAAAAGGGTTTTATGCAACATCTAGTAAGTGTTCATCGTGTCAGCCTG